GTAGCAACCCAAAATTCACTAAAGACGAACCCAGATGCAAGAGGTGGCTTACTCATCTGGATGACAAAAGTGTAAAGACAAAAACTTTCAGGAGGAGCTGACAAGCAAATGTGGTGCCCTTGCTTCTTTCAAATAATTTTGTTCCTTGCAAAGGTTTTCAGGGTCCAAAAAAGGCTTATGTAACGTTTTTATGGTCAAAAACGACTTTGATATTACTTGTGCTTGTTATGTCTAATAAATCATCACTATGTTTTTCATCAGCTTCTACATCTTCAATTTATGTGAAAACTACATCCTCAATTTATGTGACAAAATTGAAAAAAACAATAGTTGAAAAAAATTCAAAACTTGGTCAATTTCAATCACGCATCAACGAGTCTTTGAATTTAGATTTCCATTAGTCAGGCGCGTAGCGTGGACTTTTGTCAGGGACCGCGACATATATTTTGGATTTGGAGGTCTAACAAACGCCAAAGGCGGAAGTATTAAGGGAGTCTGTTCCTCCCCAGAAAAGTTTGAAAAAATTTTTCAAATTTGAAAGAAATAACTCTTGGAAATGCGATTTCCAGCATTTTGAGAAACATCGAAAATTATGAAAATTTTGAGTGAAACTTAACCCCCTTCCCCTACTCTGTTAATTAGGTAATTTTACTTTGAGCCCCCCTATCTTGCCATCAATCTTATGTAATGCCCCCTCCCCCTATGGTTTTACGGCCCCTCCTCCTGGTAATTATTGCACAGTTCCTGAATTTTATTAGGTATGGATGTGCTTACAAAAGAGTACATACTTGGCCAAACGAGAGGGCAACTAAAGATTTGACACTTTTTATTGTACAGCAAAAAAAAAGTCAAAAAAGAAGTCCATTTAATGCTAAATATATGTTAACACTGCAATAACTTCAAAACCAGTTCAATTATCATTGTTTTGATTTTTGTTTAAAACTAAAACATCGAACTGGATCAGCTGAATTTGCTAGCTCCATCTACACATTCGATGAGGATGGTCTGCATTCTGACTTCATTTTGCTTAAACCCATTTTCTGTAGTACCTCCATGTTGTCAAGGATTTCAAATGGACGATCAAATGTGAAAAGATATTGAACCCTAAAAAAGGAAAAAGAACACCTTGAAGTTGTCATGAATCCAAAAAGTCTTTGTACAGTCAAAGCCATAGAGAAGCAAAATTCATGCATACTAGTTGTTAGTCCCAGGCCCTTATTAGCCCGTTCCGTTGAACTGTTGGTCGAGTGAAAAAGGTCCAGAAGAAAAAGCGCTCGAGTCATTTTCAACCAATCACGAACCGAGAAATAACGCAATCCCCCATAGTTTCTTAAGCAAAAGTGATGGCTCTTGGTATGAGATTGGAGCCTTCTCGGAATCTTTACAAAATTTGAGCTGGCTATGTCCCCCGATTGCCAATACTTCCAAAATTATTGTGGCAGGTCAAATGATTTGCTTTAAGTGATTATCTATAAATAAAGATGCAAGTTCACCGAATCGACCTTAGTACATGGCCAGAAATTCCGGACATTTGAGC